GCTGAAGGGAGCATGCTCAGGGCTGATGGGGGATTCTCAGGGATGGGGATGCTGAGGAATGGGGATGCTGAGGAATGGGGATGCTCAGGGATGGGGATGCTGAGGAATGGGGATGCTGAGGAATGGGGATGCTGAGGAATGGGGATGTTCGGGAAGGGGATGCTGAGGAATGGGGATGCTCAGGGATGGGGATGCTCAGGGATGGGGATGCTCAGGGATGGGGATGCTCAGGGATGGGGATGCTCAGGGATGGGGATGCTGAGGAATGGGGATGGTCGGGGATGGGAATGCTCGGGGATGGGGATGCCCAGGGGCGAAGGATGGATGCCCAGGGGCGAAGGATGGATACCCAGGAGTGAAAGGCGGAAGCCCGGGGCCGGCGGGACGCTGCCCGGGGGCCCGGCCGGGGCAGGGGACGCTCCGGGCGGCTCAGGAGCCCCGCGCACCGTACCTTGTCCAGGAGCCCGTTCCGGCCGCTTTTGGCCGCCATCTTCTCCCCGTCTCCGCCCCCGCCCCGCCCGCGCCACCTGGGCGCTTCTGATTGGTGGGGCGGGAGGAAGTCCGGCTCCCCCTGGCGCCGCGCGGCACGCTGGGAAATGCAGTCCGTCCCGCCCGCCAGCCTTATGGCGTGGAGAAGGTGTTCGCATCATGGAATCGCAGGATTTGGGTTGGGAGCGACCTTAAAACGCATCCAGTCCCACCCCCTGCCATGGGCAGGCGACCCTTCCACTTTAGGTTGTTCCAAGCCCCGTCCGACCTCAAAAGGGTCTGTCCAGCCCTGGCACAGCTGCCCAGGGCAGCGGTGGAGTCCCCATACCTGGAGGGATTTAAAGCCGTTTGGATGTGTCACTTGGGGACATAGGTTAGTGGTGGCCTTGCAGTGCTGGGGGACTCGATGATCTTGGAGGCCTTTTCCAGCCCTAACTATTCCATAGTTCTATGATCTCCAACACGATACAGCAGCCCTGTTGTGTGGCCGAGCCATGTGAGGAGGATGTTGCTTATTCCTCCTTAACTAGACCCTTTGTGTACAGCTTGGCCCCAGCTGCCACGCCAAAGAACCCTGTTCTCCATTGCAGGAGGTGCGATGCTAAGCTGGATGGCCATTTGGACTGATCCAATTTAGCTATTTTGATGTAGGATTATCGGTTTCATATTAAAAGAATCAACAACAGCCCCAGTCTCCTGGGAGATGCATCTCCCTATAGTGAGAGCAAATGATGGGTTTTCACCTGTCTTTGCTCAAGTCTGTTATTAACGAGCCTCTTTGTACCTTTGTTCCTTTTGGTGGGAATTGGGTCTGGCTTGTTGCCCTGGCTGTGCCGGGACATTCCTGGAGGAAACCGCACATTGTCCTCAGTGTCGGGGAGAGCAGAGGGGATGGGAGTGCAGCACACACAAGTCCTTGAGCAGCCTTTGGCAGCATTCCCGGTCACATGGAGGTGCCAGCGGAGCTGGAAGTGCAGAAAGGACAGCTTGAGTATGTCCTGCTGCAAATGCCAGGGATCCAGACAGGATGGGCGAGCAGCACCTGCCTCTCCCTGCCCACATGGAAAGCACAGGCATGTTCCAGCGGGAGAGGGCTCAGCTCTGCCACACGGACACTGCTGGGCTCCCTGGGATCTACAGCTGGATTAACCCCAGCCCAAACCCAGCTGTTGGGAGATCAGCCTTGGACTAAAACGGGTTTATCCCAAGAGGAAGTGTAACTTGGGTCTCTGAGCTTTTCCAACCACATGATTTTGTGATTCTGCAATTACTCCACAACCTCCTTCAGATGGAGGTAAGTGTCACCTATCTGGGACAAGCAGCAGTAGGATCCTGCTTGTTTCTAAGCACAGCAAGAAGCAAGGAGTTTCACTGTCAGAATCTGGTTTTATTCTGTTTGAACCTTGGCCTTTGCCCTGTAGTTCAGGTCCCGGTTGCTGTTAAAACAAACACTGTTATTTGTACACATTTGTTGGCATATTTCTGGTTTGTGACAATTGTTTCACAAGCAGGATTTACTCTGTTTCAAACAACAGAAGCCACAACATGACAGATGCCTGCATGTCATTCCACTCACACATTTCACACATGCAAGTCAGCGGTCCTTTGGTGCCTTCCATCGCTTTGTAACACATTCAGGTGAAGCCACGGGGGTTCAGCGGGGACCAGAACGACCGTGAGAGTCTGTGGCCAGCCAGTGCTGTGCTGGCGAGTGGAGAACACGAAAGCACAACGATTTAAAGCGTTACTGGAGAAAAAGTGTAGCGACATCGAGATTGGTTTTGAACAGTTCGACAGCAAATCCCAAGGAAACCAGGCGCTCCCCCCTGTCCGTGCCCAGCTGAAGATTTTCCCGTTTGCATAGTGAGGAGCTAACTCCAGAGGGGATGGAGTTCCACAGACACGGGGAGGGGACAGGGTGGTGCACGCGGGGATCATCCCCGCTCCGTGCTGCGCTTCCATCCCCAGGACATCCCGTGGTGCTCCACCACGGACAGTGGGAGTTTCTGTCCCGCGTCCCCCACTGAGCGAGAGGGTCCGGGCTCTCCCGAAACGCTTCCCCTCGTGTGTGGGACGAGCTCTTTGCCAACCTTCTGCTGGCCAGCTGGCAGACAGGACAGGCCCAGGAGGAGCTCTGCCCTCAGAGCATTGCTAAAGGCTTGTTTTCTAAAATCACTGAGAGTCTTTAAGGCTTCAACCTCCCCCTTTGCTTTCACTGAGAAAATACAAAGAAGCGCTTGCTCAAGCTATACACTTCATGACTGCTGTGCACTGCATGTACAATAGCATTGGAAGAGAAATACTGACAATATAGAACAACGTCATACAATCACCTGGCGTGATCCCTTTTGGCACTTTTCCTTCATTTATCTCATCTCGCTGACTCCAAACACGGACCTTTCTGTACGGCTTTTCCTGGCCAGAGAGCTCCAGAGGGTCAGAAAGCAGCTTTCTGGGAGTCGGTGGCATCTTTGGCAGACACAGTCCTTCTGTCACGGAACCAACCCCAGCCCCTCTGGATTGGACAGCTTCACATTTTGGGAGGACGCTCGCATGCCCATCCCACATCCAGCAAGGAATGCCTTCATCCAGGGGGGGGAAGGCAGCTGAGGGTTACAAAGGACTTTTAGAGAAGTGTGAATAAATACTTGGTTTCATCTCGTGCTGCATCCACCATTCAGTAGGAGGTATTTTCCTTCTCAGCTGGCACAATTTCTGGTAAAGGTGGTGTCATTTCTGACCTTTACAGGGGAGAGGCTGGGCATTCCTGCCCTTTTGAGTGTAATTATTTACAATTTTTGTTGTTTTGTGCAAGCTTACACAAACTTCTAGAGTGTTAAATTAATAAAACATTCATCCTGGCTTTGCATCGCCGCCACCCTTCCATGACATGATTGTGATTCCACATCCAAAGGTCTCCTTGAACGCAGATGCCATGGCTTGTGTGTGATGCTTGGGGAGCTGGGATCTCTATTTTGGGGGCAGCTGGGAGCATGAGAGGTCCCATGAAGCTTGTTTTTGGCTGGGGACAAGCTCCAGTCCAGGCACTGCCTCCTTCACTTCTGCCCAGCTTGGATTTGGGACCAGGAAATTAACGCACAAACCCCTCAGTATTTCCAGAATCTTTTCAAAGGAAGGTATTTAAGACACTGGCCTAGTGCATTGGGCTGTGAAATCTGTTTTAAGAGGGGAAAGAAAAGATACATTCAGCGTGTAAATCTATTTTTCTTGTGGTGTAAGCAGCCCAGGCCCAGCTGAACCCCCACAAACACCACGAGAAAAAAGAAAACTGTGTAGGGAAGTCTGTTTGGCGCTCCAGGGATGAGCTGCAGAAAAGGGGGCCTGTAAAAATAATTCTAAATCTAAATGCACCTGGGAAGTGCATATTGCAGCTCAAAATGTTGGGAAAAACAGCATGGATTCCGAGTTAAAGCTGTGGTGTTCCCTCCTGAGCTCCAAGGGCAGATCCAGGCCATCACTACTTCTCTCTGTGCTGTTCTTCTAGGTCCAGTCAAGGCTCTAATTCCTTAATTTCCTTTTAATTCACATCTGGACAGAGGAGCAGGTTTTGGTTTGGGTCCAAAGCGCCCCTTCAAGCAGCACCTGCCGAGGCTGTGGCGCAGGAGGGCCCAGAGTGCCGGGAAGGCAGAGCAGGCCTGGTCTCACCACCCCCAGGTACAACTTCAACCATCCAGCAGTTTTTGTGGCAAGGAGATACAGAGATAGAGATATATATTATGGAATCACTGCTATAAGATTTCTCAAAACAAAAGTGTCGATCTGCTGAAATATAGTATTTAAAATATATAAATTTTACCCAATAAAATATAGGATTTATTTTTTTCTTTTTTCTTTTCTGTTGTTTTTTTTGTTTGGCTTTTTTTTAAATCCAGTTCGATTAAGGGAAAAAAAAAAGCCTGCCAGGGCCCTTGCAGTTCCTGTTTTCTTTTTGACTGTTTAAGATGGAGGGAGAAAATTCAACCATTTTTAGATAGAGGAAATTGGGCAATGCAGTTGTCTTTTTATGTGCATTTATGTGCATTGGCTGCCCTCCCTTCACAAGATCCATAGGGAAGTTTGCCCCTGCACTGTGCCCATCCCAAAAACACCCCTGCCCCAGACAAAGGTCCCCATGGCCTCAGGGTCCCAGTGAATACTCTGCAAGGCAGCAACTGGAAGTTGGAAGGGTACCTTCTGAGCCATGTTACTGGAAATAATCCATTAAATTAATCCATGGAAGAGGGTCATAAACACTCAGAGGGCAGCCTGGCACATCTGGGCAGAGAACACATGCTCCACCAAGCCCAGGCTCTGAGCCAGCTCTGCTCCAGCCTCAGCTTCATGCCTGGAAGTTTTTAGTGTATCGCTCACCTGAGCTTTCTTACTGGTTTGAGCCTGAAGGCAGGAAGGTGGACCAGGGGCAGGGCAGCCCTTGGGACAGCTGGGCTCCTGTCCCATCTCGGCTGCCTGGAGAGCACAGCAACGTGCTGGATCTCTTGGGTGCTCCTCTGGAACATGCAAGGACAGGCCTTAGGTGTGCTGAGAGCTCTTAGCTGAGCAAGAGATGTGGCAGCTGGGAGAACGTCCTTCCAGTAACTCCCTGGCCAGTGTCTCCCTTTCTTGAACACTATAGGGAAAAGCAGGAAACCCTCTTGGTTTGGAAAAGACATGCACTGGGAGAAAAGCTCACAGTGCTCAGCGTGTTGCTCCAGCTGGGCTTTCTCCCCTGTCATGAACATGAGATTACAAATTCCTACCAGTTTTTCAGTAAAATCCTTATTTTATGTCTTTTTACTGCATTTGGCTTTCTGCTTCAAGAAAGTGATGAATGATCTGTACTGCTGCTGCAGACAGTGAGATACATTCATTTGGAAGTACTAGGGGGGACTCTGTTTAGGACTCCCCAGAAGAAATACAGAGCACAGATAAGAGGCTGACCCCACAACCAGAGGCAGCCTGAGGGAGAAAATGGGGCAGGCAGAGAGGAGAAGACTCTCAGACAATTTCCATGAGCAGAGCTCAGATTTCCCTTGGCAAGGGATGGTCCTCATACCCCATGGTCACAACCCTCCTAGCTGGGGATCCCAGGTGTGCCAGGCTGTGTGTGGAGGCCTTGCAGTGTATTCACAGGGATGACAGACAATTCCTTCAGACCAAAGGACCAGAGAGGACCGGAGCATTTTTTTTCTCATTCTCTCTCTCTTTTTGTTTTTTTAAATCTGAAAGGACGCTGGCTTTTCTCTGAACTGGACCTAGAAATGTCTTACCACCGAAAAAGAAAAACAATTGCGTGGGTGGAACTAGGGCAAAAAATAGTTTTCCTATAAGATAATCTGATAAACCTCATTGTCCTCTAGAAAGGCAACATCATCCAGCAGTGCTACTTGGCACCCAGAGTGCTCTTGGACCGCAGCAGATACCGGTCCACACGGACTTTCCGTCTATCCACTGTCCTGTTCTCGCTGTCGAAAATCCGCTGCAGGTGCAGGGCCAACCTCCTGTCCTCCTCCTCTTGCTGGAGCTTCTGCTCCACGTCCCGAACCTCCGGAGGCAGGCCCACCTCCCCTGCCACGTGCCTCAGTCTTTTGACGGAGCCGTTGTGCTCCAAGTGCTTTGTTTTGCAGCGTCTCTTGCGGCCCCGTCGTAGCAGCGGCGGCTGTTCCCCAATGATGTTCTCCACGGAATTGCAGGTGCTGTTCTGTACGTTGATCAACTCGCTGTTGTTCAGGTACTTCAGCTGCTTTTTCCCCGATGGCTTGATGGGGACTCCGAGCGTGCTGCTGTCAGGCAGCGATGCGCTGACGCCCATGAGTCTCCTGCTCAGCATTTTTGGGCCTAGACTAAGACAGGATTTGTCCGTGAATGTATTCACTTTTAGATCAGGGACTTCAGCCACTCGTGTGTTTAGGGAGGTTATGTTTAGGGAGGTTACGTTTGATCTCACATCTGGTTCAGCAGTACTGTCATCAGTGGTTAAGGCCTGTGAACCTCTGTTCTTCTCACTCCCTCTTCCCAGCTTCATTTCACTGACGGAAGGGAAGAAATCCAGCTCAGGGCGAGGCTCTCCTGTTGCGTCAGGTGGAAGGTGATCATCCTGCACTTGTGGCTGCTCCTTAGTGCAACTGTTGGAGCTGGTGATATCAGGAACCACAATGTCTTCCCCAGGCTCTGAAGCCAAGGATGTAAGGGTTGCTTTAGAGAGAGTCTTTTTGATCTGACGCTCCTGAAATATCTGCTCCCATTTTTTCAGTATTCTAGGACTGGCCTCATAGGTTGTTGGCTTCTGCAGGCTCCGGTTCAGGTTTCTGGGGGTGGATTTGATGATGAGGGGGCTCAGGACTCTGCCGTCGGGAAGCCTCTTTGGAGGAGTGCACGGGGAGCAGACGATAGGCTTGAAGTGGTTGAGCTCCTCCGAGATGCTGTCGTTGCTCTCGGGGCTGATGGATCGCTCCGGCCTGTGCAGGGCTGACAGGGAGGACACGGCGTTGAGGACCAGGCGCTTCTCGGCCGTCAGGTCCGGGGCGGACAGGCAGCGGTTGTTCTGCGTGGACGACAGCACCCCGAGCAGCGGCGTCGACGCGCCCGTGGCGGGCAGCACCTGCAAGGCAAGGCAGCACAGCTGGGAGAGGAGCTCACAGAGCTGCACACAGACAAGCACGCGAGAGGAGACCGGGAGAATGGATGGCTGCCATGCACAGCTGTCCCCGACAGCCTCTGCTGGTCACAGCACCTTCCACAGCTGATGTGGACGTGAGCTGGACACTCCGGGGTCCAGCAAAATCTGGGTGTCAAATTTATTTCGGTCTAAGCTGCTCTTGCCACTCCAATGGCAAAATCACACAATCACAGGATGTTTTGGGTAAGGAGTGACTTTAAAGACCATCTCATTCCACTCTTTTCAATGGGCAGGGACACCTTCCACTAGACCAGATTCCTACAAGCCCTATCCAACCTGGCCTTGAAATATGTTTTCTCTTTACCTGGATAAATCAGCCCGTTTAGTGGTGTTAGGCTGATGGCTGGACTAGATGACCTTAAAGGTCTCTTCCAACATGGAGGATTCTGTGATTAAGAGCAACATTTCTTGTCTTCTCTAAGACAGTCCCTGAATGCTGCTACACTTGGTCATAATCCTGGCACAAATAAAGCAGAGAGGAAACAACACACACAACTGCAAATGGCCTTATTCTTAGCACCGAGATGAAATATTTTTATCCAGCAGCTAGTGTGTACAATAACAGCCTTTTCCTGCTTAGTCCGAAAGAAGGTTTTTTTCTACTCACCTATTTTGAGGTCAAAATAAGTTTTGGAATACTGGAACTCTAACTGGTCACATCCATAAGGCATCCTCTTAAAAAAGAAGAAAGTCCTTGGAAGGAAAGTAAGTTATGGATCTTTGCTTTGGGCTCAGTCCAGCTTCTATCGGTTCAGATGGCAGATTGCACAGGTTTCTGTTCCTCATGGTATCTCTGGATCTGAACCCTCTCCTTCTCCATCAGGGATGAAACCGATCCCAAGAAGGAGAGGCGTCAGCACGAGGAGGTAGAACATCCTAGCAAGAGCAGCTGGGTGGCTGCCCCATCCCTGGAAGTGTCTAAGGCCAGACTGGATGGGGCTTGGAGCAACCTGGGACAGTGCAAGGTCTCCCTGCCCAGGGCACGGGGTTGGATGAGCTTCAAGCTCCCTTCCAACCCAAACTACTCTATGATCCTATGAAGACTTTGGATCTTCTACAGTATGGAAGTGCCAATGTACCCTGATGTCAGGAAAACAATGAGTTTTGCTGTGTTTAAACAACTTTGGAGAGAAAGGGAGAGAGGATTATTTTCCTAAACTTCTAAAAGATTTTTCTTTACCTGGCTGGGAATTCAGCCTTGAAAACAAAATGAATCACAAAACAAAAGCCTGATTAGAACCCTTTCAACTTCCAGTTAACCTCCAGTGCTACACAAGAACCCTGACACCTGTCAGCTTTTCTGTTTAGTAATTCCGAACCCATCAGGTTCTATTGGGAGCCACAAGGAAGCGATTTGCCCTGTGGCAATAATACAGCACCACAATGCCCATATTTTGTAACTCCAGATTACAGGTGCTGTGTAACCTCAGATAAGAACATTTACACACAGGAACCTGTTTCCAGACACTGCCTGTACCTTTGTTTTGATGGCTGGGGCTGATCTCTGCCTGCTCTTGGATCTCTCCTGAATGGTGTCATTGCAGCTCTGACTCCTCTCCACCTTGGAGATTAAATTCCTGAAAAGCAGATGGGTGAGAAGAGGTTCGTGACCTTAGGAACAACCAGCTCAACAGCCCTGGCAGTTGCTACCTGTGGGACAGGCATCAGCCTTGGCAGCACCTGGCTGGCAGAGATACGTTCCATGCCCTCGGGAAAAGGGATCCAGGAATCCTGGATTTGCGGCAGAGCCCTGGTCTGCGTTCACAGGCTCCACACTGAACACATGGACACCTCTGCCCATGGCTCATACAGAACTGAGGTCAGTGCTAATGAGGGAGCTGGGGAAACCCCTTTGCTTCTCATGTGGAAACACACCTGGTTATTCAGCTGTTCGTGGCTGATGCTATTCCTTCATATCTGTGCTGGAGAAGGAACCAGCACTCTTGAGTTCATCCTACAGAATTCTGATTTCTGACTAATGGTTTAAATCTACAGGCAATGATTTTTCTCCTTCATGGGATGAACATTAACTTCCTTCCAGGTAGGAAGTAATCAGACAGACACCACGTTCTACCAATGAGTCTGCTCTAAAATTCCAGAAAAAAATTCCCTTATTTTAGATTGGAACCACCATTTGAATTAGAGCATTTAATGTGTGTTTAAAACAAGTCAGAAGAACATCTTTAAAGTACATTAAAAATTCTCAGCATCTTACCCTGAAAGGAGAGCAAAGGAGTAGGCACTGGTCTTGGAAACAAAAGCTGACCGATGGGTTTGCTTGCCCTGGAATGGTTCTTCATTCTCGGAATCCGAGAGACGTTCAGGAAACTGAAGTCAATCAAGGAAGAGTTAGCTGACATGTACAACAAAAAGAGTAACTTGGAAAATAAAGCTCTTTCTTGCAAAAGTGTTAAAGATCCCCAAATCCCCCATTTCTGATTATACTGAGAGGACATAAGGCATAAATAATACAAAAATAAGCACATAGCTTCTATATATAGTTGTTAGTCATCAAATAAAGGTGATTTATTCATCAGAAAATGTGGGAAATTCTACAATACAGGTTACTACAGGGTGTTGGTTACTCAGCCCCCGTGGGTCAGGCTATCAAATGGAAATTTTAAGAGCATTTCCTGCAGAGTCTCCCAAATGAAATGGGAAACAGGCAGAAGTCAGCAGGAAGAACGTGTTGAACTTCAGTTGTACAACTTCACTGCAGAAGATTCATGGACAAATGTTCATGGAAATACACACAAGCCTGAAGACCAAGGATATCCCCAAAGCTGATGGGATCTGTGTTAGGAGGAGTCACACAGTAGAGGGCAAAAAGGGGGACAGAAACCTCTAGAAGAACATCTGCAGTCATAACAGACCTTAGAAGACAGTCCTCATTAACAATAATTTATAATCTTTATAACCTTTATAATCTACCAGCTCATAGCCTTCATAAACTGTAAAAACTCAATTGAGGAATCCTGGAAAGCCAAAGAATGAAAATTTTGATATGTGGGCAGGAAGGAGAAGCATGAGCTTACTTACACAGTCTTGGTTCCCTTTCAGCACTACAGATTCATCCTTTTTCTGCTGTTCCTCCATTTTTCTTTTCCCTACGTCCATGTCATCTAGAATGAACTTGTGAATCAGATCCTCAGATGTCTTCTCTTCTTGTAGCTTCTCTTCTCTCAGCTGGAAATAATGACAAAAGAGGTTAAGTAGTTATAATTTCAAGTGCTACACTTACAGATTGGCAAGACTGAGAGTTTGGTCACATTGTTTCATTTTGTGCCTTCATTTCTCTACTCCAGAATAGAGCCATTGCCTCTCTCACACAATAATGTGAAAATTGGTTTGCTTCTGTATCACATTTGTGTTTTATACACAAGTATCATGGATTTTATCTTCTTTGCAAAACAACAAAGGCACCATGAGGCCCAAGGCTGGACAAAGACTTGTCTGCCACTGTATTTTCTAAAATAGAGAGACAAAAGCTTTCTCTACTTGTAGGTGATCTTACTACATATAAAAATGGGCAAAACTAGTGTCAAGCAAGCTGTGATATTTCAGTTTTAGCCTTCTGATGGCCTGACATGCTCCACACACAATTTGGCAGACACATAAGCAGCATCACCTAAAATAAAAGGTGAGATGCAGCAATTCCCATGTGGAAAGCTACATAAGAGATGAAATCCCATTGTTCCACCAGCGTGTTGGGATGAAGAGGATCCAGAGAGGCCCCCTTAGCCCTGACAGCTGACTCCAGGCTCCAAGCTCGAATTCAGTTTCAAACACAGAGAAGTGTAAGGGAATGCCAGGATCTGGGACACAAGGTGCATGGACTCTGACGGGCTGCCTGTCCTGCTGCACTGTTTTGCCCCCCACCTAAAAAATCAAAAAACTCCCCTTTTCTGCCAGGACTTTTTTTTTTTCTTTCAGACTTGCTATCAAAACCAACAAGACCCCTTTTCTCCTCCTTTCCACCACCTTTTCCTGATGAACAGGCTTGTCAGAACACACTTCAGATAACACCACCTGACTGTCCCTACCCAGGGTAACCAGCTCCCTTCTCCCTCCATCAGCCAGACATTTTCCCAGCTTGTGTCTTGCCTCTTCCTCAACTTAGACACAGCCCAGGAATAGTCTAATGTATCTGTATATAGAACAGATCCTCCCTCCTTCCTCCATCCACTCTCCATGCAGAAGTTATCCAGACCTTTGACTGACACATCTTCATCCTGCTCATGAAACCCAGCACTATGAATTCAGATCCCTGGGCTTTTCCTCATATTTGGGCATAGGCATCTCAGGTGCTTAAGAAGCTCCCTAACTTAAAAAGGCAGTGGGGAATGATGCAACAACTCCTCTTTCTTCCAAAAATATTTAGTATTTTTCTTCTCTGCTGGAGGAGGGGAAACCCCCAAAAGTATGGACATAAGGATAACAAAGAAAACAGACTTCACAAGGCATTACAGGGAAAGCACATTGTGATTTTCAAATTGGGAAGGACCCGAATCCTACTGAATCCAAGCCCCCACAGATAAGGAAGAGAAAAACAAGGAGGAAAACAAGGAGGAAACAAGGCAGAAACCAGGAAAAACTCCACTGTTTGGCTGATTGTGGGTGTTCAGCAAATATTTTCAAAGACTGGTTTGACTCCTTGCTTAGAGTTGTTTTAAGATGTATCTTTAAATTCCTCATCTATTAATAATCTCAAGCAATAACTACAACAGTGTCTGACTAACATAGATTGTGACCACATGATGCAGACATGATGAATAGCCTGCTCTAAGTCAACAGCATTTCTGCCTTTTTTGAAGCATCTGAAAAACAAATTCACATCAGGTTTATGATAAAGATTTTTTTTTTCTTTTTGGACTGGTTGAAATATTACCCAGCACTCGTGTCCCTCCTTTATTTCTCATGTGGAAGGAAGATACTCACTTTTCTGACTAAATTATAAAAATTGTAAAATCAAAAGACACAGGAATATGTAATAACACACAGGAATATTTAAAGATTTTGAGGAAATCTGTGGCACAATCAGTGTGAGGTGGCAACCCAAGCTTTGCTGACAGTGAAATCAAAAAGGCAACAGCAGGATCCTAATCCTAATTAATGGGATAAAAAAGAGAATTTACATCAAAAATTAAGGTTGCAAACAAAATCAAACTCTAACGATAAAATCTGCACTAATTACAAAAATAATAATTTGAAGTAGCCTTAATGTAAACTGTCTCCCAGAGAATTTCCTTCCAGACATGGCAATGCTGTGCTGGGGCAGGACAAGAAACTGAAACAATGTAGTGTGAAACATGTACCCTGGGAGAAGGACCTCATGTTATCTGAGTAGCATCTCTGAAACACTGGATGCAGGACCAACAGCTGCTGTGAACCACACAGTTATTAGAAAATAACATTTTAGTCCTTTTGAATACCGCAGCTGTAGGGGAAAAAAAAATGCCATACAAGCAATCAGTAATTGTTCACTCAAGAAACACCCATTTCAGGACCATCATTCTTGACACTAGCATTTATTTCCAAAAGTTTGGCAAACTCACGTTTGGTATCTTCTCTTCCCTCCACAAACTGTCCAGGTTTGCTGCCTCCCGGAGCCTGCTCCGTCTGCCCTGGCTCGGGGAAGCTGCATGTCAGCACATGCCTCAGGTAGGAGTTTCCCTCCCACTGTGTGTGCTTACAAGCAACAGACTTGCTTGTGACAGAAAGACAGCTGGACAGGATGAGTTAGGGTTTTAGTACACAGAAATGACAGACTCCTCTGGAGAAACATAAAATGCAAGAGCACCAAGGGTACAAAAGAGGAAAGCCCAATCTCGCTATCCTGCACAGACAGCAAATGTTTATCTCATTCTGAAAGCCAGTTGAGAAAATTTAGAGAAGAGATAATCCATGTCAAATAAAATTTCTTCAGTACATAATTATGGTACCACTTTGTTTTCAACTGCAAAAAGCAGGGAAGTGGGTGAAGAGCTCAGATATATAAAACAATTCACACCTGGGAGATGTAAAAATGTTTGGAAATGCTCCAAGAGGAAAGCCCAGGTTATCCCCATTCCACAGGCAGGGAAGTTGGGATGAAACACAGTCATATACAAGTTTAGATTCCCAAACCTGAGTTCCTGTCTCCTCCTGCCAAATTCAGAAGTTCAGAGATACCAAGAAACTCCTGGTAAGTAGCAACTGTCACAATTTTGCTTCCCTACAACTTCCTGACAGGAGGCTAGATCAGTCAGTCTCTCATCCCAGGTAACAAGTGACAGGACAAGAAGTAATGGTGTCAAGTTGTACCAGGGGAAGTTTAGGTTGGATATCAGGGTAAATTTCTTCCCTAAAAGGGTAGTCAGTCATTGAGCCAGCTGCTCAGGGCAGTGGTGGAGTCCCCATTCCTGAAGGGATTTAAAAGCCATATGGATGCAGTACGGGGGACATGGGATAGTGGTGGCCTTGGCAGTGAGAGAGTGACTCCATCTCCGAGGGCTTTTCCCATCTAAATAATTCTCTGATTCTATTCTGATTCTATGAATAATATGACTACATCATCAGCTGTCATTTCACCAGCAAAATTTAACTGCCATTTCCTCCTAGATGACGATTCACAGAATCTCCTCCCACACGGCTCTTTCAGCTGAGCTGCACAAAAATGCAAGTTTTATCTGGCAGGGAGCAGCAGCCTGAACAAGAACAAGACAAAAAAAAATGCCCAAATGCCAGAAACATCGCAAAATATTTCCTTCTAACTGGAAGGGAAGGATGAAGTGTTGTCACTGGACTGAACATGGTATCTTTCTGCTGAAGTCAAGCTGTAGATGTAAAAAACTTTGCAGCTGCAGCCCGACCATGCTGCAAATGTGCTTCCTTAAACTTGATAGAGAATTGTTGCTGAAAATGCCACAAGTCCCACGACTTTGCACACAAAGTGTCCCTGCTTTCCTGCCAAGGCACCTCAGTTGGAGAAGAACTTGCAATTCCCATGATCAGTTAATGAAATAGTCAGCCAAAGCTATCTTAGTAACCTGCAGCGACACTGCCCAACAGTGTCACTGCTAATTCCATACATGAAGAAGCAGGAGGGAAGACCCTTCCACACTTTTTGACTGTCTCCTTGCACATATGCATTTCCCAGACTACTTACTTATCTGAAATATCACCCATTTTTCTACTCAGACAAGGCTGTTTTTCTAACTCTATCAGCCTTTTTACACTTGTTGAGATCTACAAGTGAAAGCCCAAAGAAAATTCTTCAACAGTGAAAAACCCCTCAGGTTACGTTTACCCAGCAGGTAAAATAATCAGTGAGGAGTTGGACCCATCTCAAGGGAAAACAAGATCAAAAAGATCAAAAATCTAAAAAAATATTTTCATGGCCTTTAATTCCAAACTAGCTGAAAAACCTTTATTCTCTTATCTTTTTTTTTCCTGGTCTTTAAACCACATTTTATTCTTGGCTAAAAAGAAATAGAAAGCTCTGGTTTGGAAGTTTGTTTTTGAGGAGAAGGAGATGCCTTATGCTGCAAAAGCCTTTATGGAATTACATCTACAACCGAACAGTCACTCTAAAGAAGGTACATTTCCATGTTCTGGAAGGCAAACTAAGACAGCAAAATTTGGCTTCTACATGCTCACTTACAGCCATTTCCTGAACTGGCTGAACAGTATAGAGAATAAATGACCTTTGTTACAGAACAGGAAAAAAGAACTCTTCAGGTTTCCCTACAGGTAGGATGGCATTCCTGCAGGAAATCCAAGTTATTCTGGAAGGAAAACACAAGTATCCAAAATACTCACCTTCCTTAGCTGGCTTTCATATTCTTCTCGGAGTTCTCCTGTTTTGCTTAATTTAATGGGTGCTCTGAATATAAAGTCTGGAAAGAAAAGGGGAAAGAAAGGAAATACTTTTTAGTGCAGGATAATTGGTGTTGGCCATTATTTCCCAAAAAGGGCAAGATCTCCACAGGCTACACAAGAGCTTCTGCAGCACTTTTTTCAACTCCAGATGTTTATATTCTGCCACTGCTATCACAGCTCTGTTTAAGATACAGAAACATCAGGAGGAGGATGGCCAAGTAATCCCACTTTGCACTTCCCAAGTTTCCTTTGAGATTCTCAAGAGTCCAACAAGCAGTTAAGCAGTCAAGGAGCATTGGGAGGATGTAAACACAGGGGTGAAGAAACAGCCTGGAGACGTCACAGGGAATCTGAGTCCTGGGAATAAACCCAGGCTTTAGGCACAGGGAATTTGAGTCCCAGGATCAAAGCCAGGATTTAGGTGCCTGCTGCAGCCAGACACCCCAGGTGCACAGGCAGCACAGCTCCCCGAATTCACACCCCTGCCCTTCTGCCACTGATGCCAATGCATCAAGAATGCTCCCTTTTTTCTTGAGAATGCCTCCTCCACACCCCCTTCCAGCCGCCTGCAGCGCTGCCCCATGGATCCAGAGCAAGCACAGCCATTCCCTGCTTGCAGTGCACTTCCCTACATCAGTGTTTTGAAACCAAGTGGGCAGGATGCTCTGTCTGGCAGAAATTCCCTGTCCTGCTCCCACTTTCTCCCTTTCCCCTCAAGAATTCAGAAATCAAAAGCATACTGGCCCAGGGTTATAGTTTAACTTCCATCCCTGAAGTCTGCTATTCCCAAAGGTGACCCGTGCTTGTATCAGCCTCAAAGCGCCCTCCCACTTCTGTGCAGTGCAAGTCTGGGCAAGTTGCACTTCAGTTGGAGGAGCCTGGAGGGAAAAGGGAACAACCAAAACAAAAGACAAGCAGAACCCCTGGACAACCATCCTGGCTCAATCCATTTCAGTATTCCGGCAGGGTGCAGCACAGTTCATCATCCCAATGTGCTACGGTCAGGATGGAACAGGTTCGAGCAAGGAGGAAACATCAGGGGTACTTCCTTTTTCCACCCTGCTAAAATGAAAGGATATAAACCAACAGCTCCACCACACGTTTTCACAGAATCCCAAGATTATTTAGGCTGGGAAAGATGTCTGAGACGACTGAGTCCTATCTGTGACCGATCCCACCTTGTCCCCCAGCCCAGAGCACTGAGTGCCCCATCCAGTTGTTCCTTGGACACCTCCATGGGTGGGGACTGCACCACATCCCTAGGCAGCCCCAGCCAATGCCAATGCCTGACCACACTTTCAGTGAAGAAATTCCTCCTGCTTCCCAAAGTGAACCTCCCCTGGCACAGCTTGAAACTGTTTCCTCTTGCCCTGTCCCTGTTCCCTGGCAGCAGGGTCCAAAATCCCCCCAGCTGCCCGCTCCTATCAGGGAGTTGTGGAGAAACAGAAGGTCCCCCCTGAGCTTCCTTTTCTCTAGGCTGAGCCCCCTCACAGAATTCCCTTATGTAGGAAGTGTTTCTATTTGGCTCAAAATTAAAGGTATATGGTAGGGTGGGTGAATCAAACCCACCCAGTGACCAGCTGCCGACTGTTTTGCCAGGCATCCTCTGGATCACAGTCACATTTCCCTCGTCCCTGGGGACAGGGCACCCCCCGGGTGCCCAAACATGCCATTTACAGACTGATGAAATCCCATTACCACCTGTCCTGCTTTCCCCTGGTTTCCCCTTTCAAAGTTCCTAGGGACCCTGTAACTTCAGTCCCTCCTGCCGGCGAGGGTGAGAGCAAACTCCGTAGGCTCCGGAGCTCTAAAGAGACAACGCTGCCAATGCCAGAGCTGCACAAATCACAAAGCATTTCTTTAATACTTGCTTTGGAGGGAGAAAAATAATCTCATGTAAGCAAACATTAAACATATAGATATAAGGCCTTTCTTCTCATCAAAAAGCTGCTATTTCCTCTTATTCACATGCCTGCACGAGCCAGGTTTGTTTTTAAGGGAAAACATCCCAAGTGTCCCTCCCTACACATGTGATAAAAATCCCAGGCGATGTTGATGCTGGGGAGGCCAGGCTGCATTCCTTGCTCCTGCTTCTGCGCCCGCAACCGGCCATGCTGGAAACCTTCCACCGGCTTCCCAAAATGTTTTTTCAATTGTGTCCTTGAGCGGTTCCAGTTCTTTGTGAACTTTATCAAGCTGAATTTCCACTGAGACAGTCCCAAGAGCAGCAGCAATCTGTAACTCGCCTGCAGCAAACTTGAATTACTTCTCAATGTTTAAGGCTTGTCTCCAGAGCTAAAAAGGTGGAGTTTTCTCCTCCAGGGCACAAGCTAACCCGAGCGAAACACGCACCAGAAAGATGAGCCACGTCAACTCTCTCATTTCTCACTTGGGTTCAGCAAGCCAGAAGAAATTTTAAATAATGGAATAACATTTATATCTAAGTTGTGGTGGCTGAGCTAAAGGAGTCCAACACCAGGTGGAAGCAACTTTATTAATAATATCTTTATGGGCCAACTTGTATATTTTTACAGATGGGTCTAAAAGAGATGAGACCCCAAATTTCCAGTTCTGTATAGAAGAGATGAGAATAAAAATGTATGCAAAGATGTATATCTGCATTTCACAGAACCCCGGAATGGGTCATGCCGGAAGTCACTGCTGTGGGCCACCTGGTGCCACCTCCCTGCTCAAGCAGAGCCATCCCAGAGCACAGGACTGTGTCCAGAGGGTTCTGGAATATCTCCAGTCTGGGCAGCCTGTTCAGTGCTTGGTCATTGCACAGGAAAGAAGTTCTGCCTCATGTTCAGCTGGAACTCCCTGAGCTCAGTCCCTGCTCTGGTGCCACTGCTGGGCCCCAGAGCAGAGCCCAGGCCCTGCTCTGCCCCTCCCTGCACCCAGGGACACCCAGGGCTGAGGGCCCCTCTCAGCTGGGGCTCCTCTCCAGGCTGAACAGCCCCAGCTCCCTCAGCCTTTCCTGGACACAGAGATGCTCCAGTCCCTCCTAATTCTCACAGTCTGTGCTGGCCCTGCTCCAGGAGCTTCCTGTCCCTGCTGTGCTGAGGATCCAGAGCTTGACACAGCACCCCAGAGGTGCCTCCCAGGACTGAGCAGAGGGGCAGCATCCCCTCTGCTGACAGGGCAGAAGGGCGCTGCACCCAAGGATGTTTCTGTTGTAACATAACCATTCCAAGTGGAACCAGCCCAGTCCTCACACTGGGAGGAAGACAAGGTGACTATGTCAAGAAGACACATGTCTCTCTGGCACACCTCCCTGTGCCAATTCTGGATGTTCAGGCCCAGGACAAGGCTGCTCAGCTGCTTCAATGTGTGCCACAGCCTAGGACAACAACAAAGTAGGCAAAACCATGGAAGAAAAGGCTTTTTACTTGATTTTACAGCAAACCTCCTGCTTGCCCTTCCTCTCGAGTGATCTGTGGGTCAAGAGAACTGGTTTCTGAATGAAGCTGACTCTGAAGGGCTGCTGGGAGTGCTGCTGCTGCTGGGATGGTCTTTCCAAGCCTGGCGAGAGCACCAAAACAGTCGCAGTGGCAGGATCAAACCTGGCACCCTGCTTTTTTATGCTGGCAGACAAGAGTTGCATCCTATTGTGCTCAGTCTTGGGAAAAATAACTGATTTCTGTACTATTTGAGAGGACAAAAGATTTTCTAATTATTTAACACAGATTTTCCTTATAAGAGGCACCTAACTTGCAGCCTCAATCTCCTTGGATGAGTCCATCCTTTCCACGCCAGCTCGGAAGTGTGTCTTACACACTGTCTCTGTGGAGCTGCGCTCCTGACCAGCACATTTTATATTTACTGGCAAAAGACTCAGAAACCTCCATCTGATGAATTTAGCAACATGGGCTGATTAAAAGTAAAGCTGAACTTGATTCAGAACCCTTCGGTTCCCTGTCTGTCGTTCAGAGGCTCCTGGGTTCTGCCAAACCGATGCCATCAGGCAAATCCCAGCTCTGCCACCAGCAGCAATGAATCCCCCTTGCTCCCAGCTTCCATGGAAACTTTCAGCAGGCTTTGCAGCTTCTGCCTCCCTTGAGGTCTTCACTACTTTTCCTTTTAACTCCTGGCAGTTAATACTTGCAGCTGAAGATGAAATCTTAAATGTTTTCAAAACACAAAACAAGAAGTTAGGAATTTTCTGACCCTAGCACAGGTGTAACCACTACTCAATTGGAAAAATTATTTCCCAAGAGTTAATGATCCACTGCCATGCCTCTCACTGACCACTGGGGTCTGGTCTTAATCATTCTCTTCATTAATGGTCTGAATGGCAGATTAAAAATAATTTATGTATTGTGGAGGGCTGGAGAGAGGACAACGAGGAAGAGATGGAGGTGCAAGCCCTCTGACATCCTCACGGCACAATTACTGCCCCCAGAGAGGCACCGTATCCTATCTTCCTAGGAAATCTTAAATTTAACCCATCCCACCAGCAATACAGCCCTGTGACAAGGAGAAAAAGAAAGAGATGGTGTCAGTTTTAATCAGTTCGATGTGGGGAGCAAATCACTGCTTTTCCTGAGACAGGGAAAGGCTTCTTTGGGATTGCCACTTCCAAACCTGTAGCACTGTGGTCTTGAGACAAAAAAAACTAGTGACAGGCTACAGAAACAACAGAAATGACAGGAACTTCAGGAGTCACCAGGAAATGCTCAAGAACTAGACTGGTTTGGTCCAGCGGGGAAAGGGGAAAACCACTGCCAAAAAAAGACTGGGAGGAAGGAGGGGGAAGTCATTTTACAAGTCTGGCAAAAACACGCCACCCCTCTTACACGAGCATCAGTTATTGAATGTTGTGCATTGCTTCTAGGCAGAGGAGAAACAAAAGAAATCTGATTCTCTGAAATGAGAATGTACTTATTTTCTCACAAATCAGGCTGAGCACCTTGCCACAAACATATTCTGTTCCTTCTCTTTGGCCAGCTGAATCCTCAAACACACACCCGCAGTCTCCAAGCCTCCCATCTGCTGCTCCTCTCTGCCTTCCAAGAATTTCACCAAGCAACTGTTTTAATATAAGAAGCCTCACTCAGCAAAGCACTGCAGCCAGCACTGCATCTTTAGCTCAAAGTCTGGCCTTACACCAGCATCCAGGGTGCCTTCCCAGGTGCTCTGTGGAACCAGAGTATCCAGAGAGGATATGGGACCCGTGGGCCACCTGCATCCTTCTGGAGCAGCAGCTGGGGCCAGGCTGAAGGCAGCAGGGCAGCTCCTAGGGAATCAGATGCCCAGGAACTCTCAGGCAAACCCAGCCCATGCCAAGACAACACAGGCAGTGAGTGTGTGTGTCTCTGCTGATTTCTATCCAGTTTTTTTTTTTACAAGTGTCGTGACAAGGACTTTGACTTTAACCCCATTTGGACACCTAGTGCAGAATCCCCAGCCTCAGCCAAGGTCAAATGTCACCCATCCCTTCAGACAGGGCAAGGAGGAGGAATGACACGATCAGCCCCATCTTGATTCCTGGGGAGCAGCTACTCCTGGAAACCACTTCTAAACAAAGATAAGGTGCTTGGGAGGTAGGCTGCTGGATTTAAGGAAAGGAAAGCAGGCTTAGCCAATGATTTCCAGGGTGAGATGGCTGGCTCAGTGGATGAGCACAGAGCAGAAGATGTTGGAAGGGTCTGTATAGATCCTCTCATTCCACCCCTTGCCATGGGCCTTCCATTATCACAGCTTGCTCCATCCAACCTGGCCTTGGACACTTCCAGGGATGGGGGAGCCACAGCTTCCCTGGGCAGCCTGTGCCAGGGCCTTAGCAGCTTTACAGGGAAGAATTTCATCCCAGTATTGCATCCAAACCTGCCCTCTGGCAGTGAGAAGCCATTCCTCTTTGTCCCGCACACATCTCACACAACTCAGGGCAAGCTGAGAATTAAAATTAATTCTACTTAAAAAAGCCTGACTAAGACACTGCACAAGCATTCCTGCAGCATGGCTGGATACTCTCATCCAAGCTCACCTGGACCAGGCCAAGTCCATTAAAGCATGACTGACACCACTGCCCTGGAGCAGAGATTGACTCGGGGAGTTCCTCCCGTCCCTCCTCCAGAGGAAGCACTGCTAGCGCTTCAGCTCAGCTCCCTCTGGACAGCCCATCTGTTCATTGATTCAGCAAATCCTTCCGTGTGAAGGCTTCCTAAATCTCTTCCAGGTTAGTGGGGTTAGTTCAAACCACCAGTTTAAGCTGTTTAAGCTCATCCTGCCAATTCTTCCCACAGCCAATTAGAGGGTGCTGACACAAGCGTGAACTGGGAGACCAGAAACACGCTTGGAAAGGAACGGGTTGGGCTAAAAGGATGTTTATCTGTAGCTTAAATCCTTGTTTGCTCTACAGGGTTCCCCTCAGCACTTGCTGTGTTGCTGAAGTGGGCACTGATGCAACACCTCTCCAGCCAACAGATCCCAGTGCATCCCGAGTTCTGACAGCAGCAAGGTGGGCATCTCCAGCAGCTCCCACAGGGAAAGAGCAAGCCACTGTCTCAGAAGAGGATTTATTTTCATGGGAACACAGGGAACAGTTTTCTACGAGCTGAGGAAGGCATCTAGCTTTGGAGGCAGGGAGGAAATGTGCAACAAAAAGCCACGAACACAGGGATGATGGACTTTTTTTATGTCAACAAGGGACTGGGACTTCCCATGATGCAAAACCCTTCCTGTCTTGATGCAGTACAAACCCGCCCAACTCAGCAGCACTGTTGGAACAGTGCACTTTTGGGGCAGGATTATCACAAAAACACCTGAGGAAGTGGGGAAATATCCCCCCAGCCAAGCATCCCTTCCGGGGGATGATGCTATCCATCCCCTCCATCTCCCGATGTCACAGTGCAGGGCGGCTCACCCCAATGCCCCGTCCCCAGCTCGGCCCTGCAGGACCCGGGCTGAGTCCCCCCGAACTCATGGCGCCTCCCGCCACGGCCGCACCCCTCAGGCTGAGCCCCCCGAACTCATGGCGCCTCCCGCCACGGCCC